TTTGTGTGGGAGAGACACATTTCTGGCAATGCATTTTAGAGAATTGTTTTAAGATAGCCCGAAGGATGTGAATGAAATGATGTTAGGCAGCTACTGATGACCTCTGCTGGCCTGGGCAGAGCCGGAGGAGCTGATCCCCCTTTCCCCTATTGATTTTATCAAACCTCAAAGCAAGATATTCTGCCTAGAGTTAAGCTACCTTAGAAGAGCATAGTCTTTTGTCTTCCTTAACATAGCCTGACAGTGTTTAGGTTTCCCAACTATATCCCATAAATAGTCTATTACTTCAACAACTGTAGTAGTTATAGTTTCCTTGCCATAGCCAAGTTTCATGTTCACTCACACTGAAATTTTTTTTAGATAAAATAACTTGTTTTTGCAGGTTGGTTGGTCAGTGTGATTCAGCCTTGATATTATTTTTATTACAGCAGCATAAATATTTACTGTTAATTAAAACAAAAAAACCCAGCTCCACAGGGTTTGGACCACTGTATGTGAACAAACACAATGGATACGGAACAAAAAAAAAATGATTCCCTCCCCCCCACATAAATTAGCCTACACATTTAAAGAGTGTAAACTGTTGTATGGTATAAATTGATTTCTCCTTAATTTGATCCTCGAGGGACTAAAGGCCATATTACTGGGTGTCTCAAAAAATGTATATATACACTTTATATACAGCTGATAGCTAAATTTTCAAAATGAGATGTATTTTAATAAGCACTGTCTTTATAATTATTCAAAGTGGGAATATACATTTTTATGGGGACACCCTGTATGTTATATATAATTTCACATTCAGGAATAATTTTAGATTTGTTATACTATTACTAGTACATTTCATTCCAACTGAATTTGTTTTTCCATTCATATTTCTATTCACAATATATGTGCACCTCAAATTTAAGGAGGAGCCTAAATCCTCAATTTAAAAATACTGACATCTGACTTAAATTCTTCTTAGACATGTATTTATTAACTTCAATGAAAAACTAATTTAGACATCACTGAATTTTTATAATTAAACAATTTGAATCTTTTTGTAAAAAAAGATATGATAAAATGGTGTTATTCTACAAATTCAGATCTACTTCTATATTTCTGTTAGCGTTGGAAGCACCAGTGCATTTATAGACCTGTTGGCTTCCCCTTGACAGAAGAAGCTAAGAAGTCATTTAAGTGTATTCTCAGCTTCTCTTTCTCCTATGCAGAGGAGAAAAAGGAATATATCGATGGATGACTGTTGAAAAGACATAGATGGTTTAACCTAGGAGAAGAGAAAATTTTCCAGTCCCTTTATTGTTCTTGGACCCAAGTTTCCTATGAATGTTCATCTTTATTAACAAAGAATTATGGCTCAGTAGCTTTCCCAGTATCCAGTAAGTTTTCTTGGAGCTTACCTCATATAGTTATGTATAACAAGAAAATTACATGTAGATCAGAATGTTGCAAAAAAAAATATGTGTAATAAAATGTGCATATATCTCATTTATCTATTTTCATAGGTTTCAAAACTAATTTCCACACTGTAGCCAGAATGACCACATCACCCTTGCTTACTGCTTTACTGATTTGAGTATATTCTTAGCATAAATATGAAGTTGATTAGCATTGTCTACAAGGAGCTGAAAGGTGTGACCTTCTTCTACCTCTCGAGCCTCATCTGGTACTATACTTATTTTTCTTGCAAGTTTTATTACTTTCTAAAACACACTGAAAGTCTGCTTCTCCCCCCCAGAGGGACTTTGTCTATTTATTTTCTCATTCTGAAAAGCTCCTTAATGACCCTCCACATCTTTGCTTAGTTAACTCTATTCACCTTTCTGCTAATTTCTTACTTTTTTCAGCCATACCTTCCCTGTACTTAAGCTTCTCAAACTTGGTTAATCTGACCCCTAATCATCTGTCTTATTTGTACATCTTATTTAGTGTTAGTTTATATTTATTTGTATGATTACTTTATTAAGTTGTCTCCTCACTTGGACTATAAATTGCATACAAGAAGGGAGAAAGAAACTCTGCTTTTTTCTTACTATGGTTTCAGTATCCTTAGTTCTTGATATAGCACCTAATATACATGCAATTCAGGATTTTTTTTTAAAAGTTAAAATTAAATGAGTAAATAAATTAATTTTATACTTTTTAATATATTCTAATCTCTCTCTCTCTCTCTCAACATATATATATATATATATATATATATATATATATATATATATATATATATTAGCTGAACTTGTGAAGAAATTTTTGATGCCTTGTGGGAACCTACTTTTATATTTTAACTAGTGGCCTAGTACATGAATTTGTGCACATCGAAAGGAAATTATTTAGAAGAAATATTTTCATATCATTATTCACCCTTTCTCTATAATAGAAGTGTCAACCAAATTCATGATCCACAAATGAGGGATCAAAACACATGCAGGTGATTGGCATCAGCGAGAGCTTTATATGTATTGTGCATGCGCAGTCAACTTAGTCTTTTATAGATATAGAATAAACTTACTTAATTAGACCCGCTTTCTGATTTAGCTCAACTTTTTCCAGCCCAGTGAAGCACCCAGCTTCTCTTTCAGGTAATTGTCAGCAACATAGCAACATAACACAAAGCAGGTTATTATTGTAGATCCTACAGGGAGAATAAAGGGTAAAGTATTTCCCTACAGCAGTGTTTGACTTTATTCTGTGCAGTGAGAAAACATGAAGTCATTTTCAAGGTCCACAATTTCTTACTTCTTTTCAGATGTGTCAAGTTTCTAAGCTTTCTAAATCTCCATTTTCTGGCTAATGAAAGAAAATAGGATTCCACTGAGTCTCCTATCTACCTACTCCAGGACTTTTGTGAGGATCAAATGAGATGAAGCATGGGAAAATGCTTCACAGACATTTGGTTAAAGTGTAAAATGTTTCCACCTGGCTATAAAGCAAGCCATGCTCCTGGACTGCAGAAACTCCAAGGAGGCTAGTTGCTAGGAAGAGGAAGCCAGGGATTGCTAGGTGACATCATTACCTGGTGCCCACAGCGATTGTTTCTGGGCTGAGCTATGGGCTGCATTTTGTGCTATGGGGTCTCAGCAGTGTCAGCTGCAATTTGATGGGCTGTGACTTGGAGGTGGTGGTGGGGCCTGTGTCCCACTTGGGGGGAGCCGACTGTTGCTTTGTGGGTGCCAGGTTCACAGTGTCATTTCTCTGTAAATGGTCATGGCAGCTCCTGTGTTGAGAGTCTGCCCCCCTAGTGGTCATTGCACATCATAGTGACTGGTCAGAAGATCAGACACTTAGCATATTGGCCATATATATTCCTGGATCAAGAGGTTCTCTCTTTTACCATGCTGAAATAAAATCTGATTTTTAAAAAAACCAAATTGATTAGCTAGAAAGAAAGCTGATCACTATCCTTGATACATTATTTGTTCCTTTATCAGTGAAATGTATCTCTGCCACCTTCTCAACTATCTTATTTTTCTTCTAATTTTAACTTTAGGTCATCTTTCCATTCAGTGAATCTTTAAGGGATAAAGATATTGGCAGTTTGTTTAGGACTTGGGTTTGCATTGAGTATCCCAAGGTAGTCTTAAATGTCTTAGCTTTTCTGCCAACATCAGACTTACCCTCTGGGAATCGTATACTGGAGTGGGCAAAAGTAGCTTTACAGTTGTGAGTTCAAGAAACAGTTAATGAAGCTACTCACTAATCATAAGCTGTATGTATTTTTTTTCCCATTAGGAACAAACCTACTTTTGCTAACAAGTGCTAGCCAGCATCTCCTGAGGCTCCCTTTCTCCAAAGGGCTGCTCAGGAAATATGGCCACTCCTAATTAAAATATGTTTAGTTTTTCAGATTACCCTGGTGCTCTCTTAGCAGGAATTAAAGAGGTTTCATAAGGAGATTGGAAGTCTCTTCTTTCACATGCACAAAAACTGGCAATCTTTGTCCCCTTTGACAGCTGGTGGCATCTTTCTGAAAAGCTTTCAAATGATAGATCATTTCTTCATAATGAAACTGTGTGGTTCAAACACAGAGGGTTGAAATTCTTATCTTATGCTGCAGTAAAATGCTCTAATTTTGATTCACAAAAGGATTCCGTACTCTTTACTTTGGAGAGCTGTGCAATTTGCCCATAAAAAGACTGTTCAGCACCATTAGTGCATACCATAAGTGTTCACTGACATCATATTCATTAAACAGCACATCCTTATGCATAACCTCCTCAACTTCGAATGTGTTTTTTCCTTTGAAGAATGACGAATGACAAAGGGGCGAGAGAGCCCCCAAGCAATACTGTTGCCTGTAAGGATGAACTTGGGAACTTTAACTTGATCCCCTCACATGAAAACAAAACAAAACAAAACAAAATAAAACAAAACAGGTTCAATCCTTTCTTACCTAAGGCAAGATTATTTTTTTGTTGGTTTCTTAGTTTCATGGCCAAGAGAGTGACCCCTGACTTCTGAGATTCAGAGACAAATCTTTGCACAATAGAAAAATTTCATGAGGGCAATGACCAGAAAATTCCCTAAATAACATTTACTGAGAACCTACCTATTTCTTAGAGCCTATGTTAGTCTCGGAGGGTAGAGGTGATTATAGAATATTAATACAAGCCATCGTTTCTAATACTTGGAACTAAATATCATCTGTTTCCTAACTTGATCTGATAGATTTGGGGGAGAAGGGAGAGGCATGGGGTAAAAGGGAAAGAATAGGGTAGGTAGTTTTGCTTTGTTTTGTTTTTAAGAGTGAAAGAAGAAGAGCCAGGGAGAATTATATTGGGAACAATAGTTGTTCTTGGCAGGGCCAGCTACTAACCCTAGCATCAATTCCATTGCTACTCCATAGTGTTCCTGCACTCACAATGACCTCCAGCTATTCTCCCAGATCTGTAAGTGTGGTGGGGCAGTCCCTTTCTAAATCTGCCCTCCTCCCACCCCTTTCCCCAGTTTCATTCATACTTTTCTCAAACTTGTGAGCTATCTTCTTGTTTCCATTGTAGGTACACCTGAGAGCCTGGCAGAAAAAGAACGGCAGCTCTCTACCATGATTACCCAGCTGATCAGTTTACGGGAGCAGCTCCTGGCAGCGCATGACGAGCAGAAAAAACTGGCAGCCTCACAAATTGAGAAACAACGGCAGCAAATGGACCTTGCTCGCCAACAGCAAGAACAGGTGAGCCCTGCAAAGGGAGCTGACGAACTGGAGATGTGGAACGTACCAAGCTCGGCGAGCAATCACATTGATTGGTTTATTTGTCAGAAGAGCGCCTAAAAAAGGAGAGAAAGAAGCCTTTTGGAAATCAGGGTCCTTGAGAATACCGAGGGGGATATGTAGAGGACAAAGAAAGGCATCATAGCAACTGGGCCTCACTGAAATGATAACCTCCTTCCAGAACATTTGCATGTGGTCACTTACCCGGGGAAGCTGATTCACATAGGCAGGCAGCACACAGACTCCCAGTGTAGCTTACACAGGAGTTTGTCACATCTCTCTGGGCCTTACTCTTTTCATCCAGAAAAACAGGCCCCTGGTTTAGGAAAACTTTAGGACCTTCTAGCCCAGTGGTCGGCAAACTCATTAGTCAACAGAGCCAAATATTAACAGTACAATTGAAATTTCTTTTGAGAGCCATTTTTTTTTTTTTTTTTTTTTTAGAAAAAACTTAAACTGTATAGGTAGGTACACTGTTATTAACTTAGTGAGGGTACTTATAAGCTGGCCTTTGCTAAAGAGCCACAGTTTGCCAACCACTGTTGTAGCCCATGGATCCAATGATTTTTCTCTGACTTTAAAACTAGGGTCACACATCTGTTTTCCCAGAATAGCCCCAGTTAATGCCTTTTTTCCAAAATAAGTATTAATAATCCTCCTTCCACTTGCAAAAGTTGTCCTGCTTTGGATGCTAAATTATATAGTCACTCTATTTGTAGCACAGGTAAATCATTGGGGAAAAAATTAGCACATGGCTCCTATAAGGATTTTATTTCATTGATTCAGAAGTGAGAAAGAAGAAAAAATAGCAAAGTTTAAATATATGTGTTTTTAAATAAATCGCTCTCCCAAATGTTTTTCCTGTCTCGTAAGAGTACATTAATCTAACACAGTGATCCTATAGAGCAGTCCCTGGTGCTTTAGATCAGACAGACCCAAATTAATGTGCAGTTTTTAGGAATCTGACATTATTACTGGAATTATCTTTTCAGTTAAATGTATTTTATAGGGGTATATAGAGCAATATATGCTCTGTTGATTTTAATGAGTTGTGACGTCTGGTATTTTATATGCTTGAATATTTGCCCACGTGTAGGAATATGGACTCAGCCCCTAATGGAAAATAACATAAAGGAACACTGTAAAAAATCAGAAGTTAGAATGTCATTTAGCCATCCAGAGATGACACAGTAATTAACTATTGACACTTGTGAATAAGCTAGCACAAATTAATCTTGACACATTTGCAGACGAGTGATATCTTACAGTGAACACTTTGTAATTATATTTCAAAATGAAAATTAAATGACACTTAAAACTAGGTTGTCATGCTCAATGAAGCGAGCATGTAGCTCAACCGATTGGCAAATAAAATTCAGAATTTGAGCCACATGGTGCTTATGTACCATACTTCACTGTGTCAAACCCACACGTCTAGAGTGGATGATAGTAATTGCTACTGTGGTGTTCTAGAGGCATTTCTGTGCAGCACTTTATCATTTAGGAGGGACCATCAATATTAGATGCCTCGTGGTGTTTCACTAGTTTGCTAAGAGGAAATAAATATTCAGAGGATACAGCATCTAAACCTAGAGTCACAGAGTGAGTTGTCCATTTCCTTTAAAAAAAATAATTTAAATAATTTTTATTCTTCAATTACAGTTGACATACAATATTATATTAGTTTCAGGTGTACACCCCAGTGATTAGACATTATATAACTTACTAAATTATCATCCCAATAATTCTCATATCTATTATATCTGACACCATGTATAGAGTAGGTATTATACATTTATTGACTATATTCCCCATGCTGTACTTTACATCTGCAAATATATTTGTAACAACCAATTTGTACTTTTTAATCTCTTCACCTTTTTCACCCATCCCCCCCCCCCAAAAAAAATTACTTTGTCCTTTTCTGATTTGAATGGTGACAAGCAAAGTGGACCTTTTCAACCTGATTAGCTGTCATTTCCTGTTTGCTTATAAAGTTTTGGGGAGGAATGGTCCCGTTTCTAAAACTGTTAGGGACAGCTTCCCATGACTTCCAGAGTGAGCTAGTCATTTCCAGAAAACTTAAAGCAACATTTGGTAGCATAATGCTATTTTGTCATCTTCTGTTAAATGGAAATCTGATTTGGGTGTTTCCCTCTGCTCTAGGCTAAAGCATCAAAAAGATTCAAAGCATAAACCTGGGGGTTGATCCACACTTGTTTTCACTCCCCACATTGCCCATTCTAGAATACTGGCTTTTGGAAATAGAAAAACAAATAGGAAACAAACAACAACCCCATACCTATAAATCTTGCCTAAAGGGCAGCACTAAAAAAGTCTTCTAAGTCCTCCCTGGCCACTTTCTCTCTGGCTTTCTAAGTTGGAGTGTCTTCTAAGGGGCATCCCCCTCAGCTCAGCTTTTAAGGCAATAAGCAGACTGATGCCTTCATGTTTTATAGTAAACACCTGCTCTCCTGAGTCAGTCTTCAGTGAGGCTTGCATGAAGTGGTTAATATTTCTTTTCCTAGACCAGATGATGTGTTAGGGTGTTGAATTTGATTGTTGGGTGAAGCAAGAGACTGTAACACATTACCCTCAAAAGGAGAACTAGATAGATATTACATTTTGTTTTTAAAATGCTTTATACATCACAAAGAGATGTTTGTAACAACTTTTGACATTTTGCTGTGTATTCTTGATATTCCCTTCAAGATATTTGTCTTATCAGTCCTGAGAGTCCTTATATCAGAAAACGTTTCACCAAAGTCAATTGTATTATAATTAATAAAAAGTTCTTTCCTGTCTCTGCATACAGATTTTACTTTTGTAGTCCAAATTCAGCTCTTTAGAAACAGGAAGCCATAGTTTTTCCATTTTTACTCTCCAAGGGTCAGATTTCAAAACTCCCATTCTTTCCAGGTAATGGGTGCAGAGAGAGGAACTGCTCGCACATGTACAAGGGGTAGCTCTCACCTGCAGATGAAGAGCTAGGGGTAAGCAGAGAAGTGGCATCTGTTTGAAATTTTCCTTTTCTCCAAATTTCTGGTTCTGCCTCTCTCACTTGATAGGAACTCGTGAACATAGAAATGCAGTAAAACATTCTTGTAATACCAGGAGAGATACCCGAGGTAATGGCAAAGGTGTAAGCATTTCATTTCAACTTAATGTAACTTTATTTCTGATAGATTGCAAGACAACAGCAGCAACTTCTGCAACAGCAGCACAAAATTAATCTCCTACAGCAACAGATCCAGGTCAGTGTATTTTATTACTCTCGTCTGATTATACTCACAGACTTTCCTCCTTGAAAATGGAATTTAAAATGCTGCCAATGCACCCCGCTCTTATAAACAGCACTGAAGTAGTTACTCTCAAGGATGTTGTGTACCACGGTATAAGTGGATGCAGGAAATACCACCTAAGTGGTGGTCTAAAGCATTCTTTTCTGACGTGATGCATATGCAGGAAAAAACCTTATCTTTTCTTCTTTCTGCCATTTGCCTGACAGAACCTAGTGGAAACCTAGTGGTTTCCAAGATAGCGTACACATGCTATTTTGATTGCCACAAGCCAATTTCTGCTTTGTGTTTCACCATCTAACAGTATCATGGGGAGAAGCGTGTGCTTGTTTACTTGTTAGTATTCTCTGATTGGGCCAGTTATGAGAAGAATCTTATGACCTGGGAAAAGGTTGGTAATAATTGATTAGTTCTTTAACAGCTATCACTTGCATTTCTGTTAGATGATGCTGAGGGGAATCTAAAGATTAATGAATAATTGTCTGTCTGTAGGAGCTTATAGTCAAGAAAGGAAGAATAACTTGTCTCTGAATAATTGTAACACAATTTAGAAATTCTCTTTTTTTTGTTGTGGCAGGGTAACCCTATATATAGATCATGATGACAATGGCATGGGAAGGAATTTGATTTCTGTCTTTCCTTTAGACACATGGTGGTTAATTCAGCTCCTGGCTATTTTAGATAGGTAAGGGATTGGTCTCCTTTTCTGAATAGGAACATAGGTATGGTTGTCCGGGATTGATACTCAGAAATACTGATGCCAGAGTTATATGTACTCACCACAGCCTCTGTGGTTTCTGTTGGCTGCTGTGGCTGTTTTCTAACCACTGGGATCTGTGATTCAGCCTAGTTGGGGCAGTATATTCTGAATTGCATTATTCTTATCCTTGAGATTAATATTATTACACCTTCCTGTATTCTTAAGAAAACATTCACATAATATTGTAGCTTACTCTAATCTTCTTCCTTACTGATGAAAGCCAGAGATTTCAATGTAGATTCTGCTTCATTTTTGTTAATCATCCTTAGTGTCTCAGGTAGCACTCACTGCATTTAAAATAATGATTAAGTGCCTGAAGAAGTACCTGTACCTGATTTGGCTATCTTCATGAGGAGGTTTTAACCAGTGGTTTGTTGTGATGGTTGTTTTAAAATTAGTTCTGATTTCACATTTTGTATTCAAGTGAGTATGTCCAGCTCTCTTCACGAGGGAGGTTTTAACCAGGGGTTTGTTGTTGTGGTGGTTGTTTTAAAATTAGTTCTGATTCTATATTCCATACTCAAGTCTATGTGTTTCAAAGTAAAGGACCCAAATGCAGAAGAAATGGAATGTCTCCGGCATTTTTGACAGCCAGCCTTCACAATTAAATCTTGGAATAATTTCTCATCCCGGTATCTCTTTTATAACTCATGCTGAGATACTTAATTAAGTAACTGTCCAAGTGTTCCCTTGTTCTGTCCTTATTAGAATTTTCAGTGTGTCTCCCATTACTAAGGTCAGGATTTTTAGCCTGTGGCTTCCTACATTTTTCTCTAGTTCCTTCTCTAAGAACTCAGTGGGTGTTAAATAACCTGATCATTTAGTTCTCTCTGTTTCTCATATTTGTAAAGTAGGAATGGAAGAAGTTCTCCATGCTCCCATGTCAGTTACTTATTATTAATGTTTTTATTGCTTCTTTATTACTTACTTCTTCATTTATTTTGAATATATTTCACTTATTAGTTCAATGTTGTTTATATTAAGTGACCATTTTAATAGTGGTACCGAGGCTGTCAGATGAATAGCAACCAATTCAGAGTATTTTTATGAAATACTATTACTGTTTATTGATTACATATGATTTTATAGTCACAGCTTGCCTGTATGAAATTGATGTCTTTTTCAGGAAACTTGATCTTAAAATATTACTCATTAGATTATTCAATGTGAAAATATAGGGAAAAAGTTGGTCCAGGTTTTTCAATAGAAGTTTAATTGCCTTTAAGATTTGTGTATATTTCTCATTGTTTAAATTTATAGAAATTGAAGCTGATCAGCACTTGATCTCAGGACTTTATGTTATAAAATCACAGAGAGATTTAAAGTGTCAGTTATATTCATTTCAGAAATATAGGATTCTTTGTAACCAGAATTCACATTGTAAAAAATAAGAGGAAGCAATAACCTGTATTTACAGTTCTCTATTCTGAGCTACTTTTCACTGCATAGCATGTCAGTATTTATCTTATCAGTATGAGACCATTTACAGAATTTTTCAAATGCTAAAAAATACTCCTTACACAAGTATTCATCTCTGACACTTAAAAGTGGGTATTTAATATTATGAATTTTAGTTATTTTTTGAAAGGGAATGGGTTAACTGTATTTTCAAAAATAGCTTTTGACAAGCCATAGACATGATCAAATTTAGGAGAGAGATTATTGTTGGGCTAATTTTTAATATATATGTTTTTGAGCAAAACATAAGACTTAAGAGATGTTTTGAACATTTCATTTTCTATCATTAAAGAAACATTCTCCCTTTTGAATACAAAACATAACTAAGTAAAATAAGATAATAAATACAAAACCTAACTTCTCTTCTGAAAGCAAATGAATATGGAGACCATTTGCGTAAGCTTGAAATTTTAACTTTTCTTAAAATCTTGAGCTAACATGGTCAGCAAGATTGAGCCTTGGCAATTGGCTATGAATAATGAGGGTCAGGTTCTTATAGTCAAGACTTTTTTCACATCTAGTTCAGAATACTCACTTCTGAATTAGTTTTGTTGTTTTGTTGTTTTTTATACCTGTAATAGAAAGAAAGAAAAGATGTCTAACCTTTAGTAATAATACATCTGGGCCTATTATAATGGAAAGAAATGAAAACCTGAATGGTTTGCACAAATTTAAAAGCGGGATTTTTCATTAGAAATAGGAAAAGGCATAATTTATGAGGTAGTATTATAATGCTATTTTGCAGGCTTATTTTGTTTGCACTCATTCAAAAGTTATATATGCAGTTAAATAATTTCATTTACATATTTTCTTCCTTGAATATCATTTTTTAAGATAATTTGCCTTGGTAAAATCTAACTGAAATTTTAAAGGCATACTTATTAAGACCATGTAGGCCTTGTAAGATGAATGATTTTGTGAACTAATGTTTTTATTTTTTTGATGAGTCAGTTTTTACCATTTTAAAAAATCAGGTTAATAACTAAACAATTATTAAAAATGCTTTAATATTAACAGATCTTTAAGGAAGCTGTTTGCTTAGTGAATTCAAATCCCTCTGTTTGTGCTTGGGGGAGAAATGGTGATTCCTCTAATTTGTTACATATTAAGTAATTCCTGCCATGTGAGCCCAGAAAAAGTTAGATGTTTTTGCTTTTTCTAGAACAAATACAGCACAGTTTTTATCAACTCTATGGAAAGCAAAACTAATAACTCATGGAATATGGATCCTTGGAGTTGCGAATGTCGAGTCTCATGCTATAATTCCAAAGGACAGATAACAGCTTCAGTGATTTCATCTCACTTCTTCCACCCATTGCACTATATGCTTCTTAGCCAGTCTCTTGAAGAATTTTATTTATTGGTTATGTTGATTAGAAAACAAAATTTATTTTTAACCCATTGGACATATGAAAATATACAGTATTGTAATCAACTATTATATATACAGAGTGGGCAAAAGTCGGTTTACAGCTATAATATAATACAAATAAATAACACAATAGGTAATAAATAATAATGTAAGAATAAACTATTTCAGGTGTTTATAACTATAAACATACTGTTGTCCACCCCTGTTAGTCTAGTCTAAGCAAACAGAAAATATTTTATAGATCCTTATTTTTTTTTGCTCCATCCATATAGTTATTCATTTACCATTATTTGACCATGTCATGGTTTTTAAATCCAGAGACAATACTCTTTGTGGACACAACACACCACATTCTTTGGTTTTGATAGCATGTCAGTAGGAACACATTTAATGATGGTATTTTACTGCTAGATCCTAATCTTTGCAAGAAAATTCAGCTCATTAAAATATCTTTGTGAGAAACTTACTTCTGCAGGCATGAATGGTGTTATCTAATTATCCATGTCTGTTCAGACCCTGATTTTAGTCTTATTCAAGCAGCTTGTGTTATGTGCTATATAGGGAGTGTCCTTGCTTTGTATTACTGACCGAACAACAATGGTCTCTTAAGAATGCACTGGCTCATTGAGATTTTATTTGGCTTGCTGGGTCAAAGCCAATAATTTAGTCAACTCATATACATCCACCATTTAAGGTATAATTGTGAAACTTGACATTCTTAGCTCTTTGTTAATCTTTATGGTTAATATACAATATTAACTGGCCTCCCCTCATATTTTAATATGTCCCTTAATTGGTGAACTCACTCGGTGGAAGGATTATACTACCATTACTGCTGCTTTGCAGATATCCATGGTCTTGTCCAAAACTTTCTCTTTTAAAAGCTGTGGTATATGCTTCTGTCCAAAACCAATTCTTTGTTTATTCAGTGACACCTCTTTCTTCCTAAAGGTATATGAGTATTTCATCCATAGTGTTTTCTATTTTGTTATAATCCTGTGTGCTTTTCGTATATTTTGTCTCTGTGTATTTGTCACATGGTAGAACACCTTTAAATGTGTGTTCTTCTTTTTTTCCCGTTAATCTGGAGATGTTAATATTATAAGCTAGGAGGTGATTGTTCTTAAACCACTAAATAGAATAATTTGAGGTGTACTCTCACCTTTTAAGAAGATAAACCTAGCCCTTTGTTTCCTTCAATATGATTAACTACAGGCATTTCTGGTATCTGCGAGCAGAATAAGAACTCCCATTTCTGTGAAGTAGTTGTCTAAAGATCAGAAATAATTACTTTATACATTAGCCTTCATGGTCTGCATGACCTGGTTAATTAATTTTTTCTAGGATAATAATAATAATAGATAG